CTTCGTTTATTTAGAAAGTGCAATACAGGTCACTATAAACCCACCACTTAGACACATTTACAATGCACAGGGAGTGTATTTTCTGATCCCTTTTGCCCACTCGGTGACCTCATGAGTCTCTCAGACTGTGTACAGAATCAGATTAGCCTCTAATATGATCACATAGGGACGTAGGACTCGTCTTTAGGGCAATAAAAGGCCTTCTGAGTTGGGTTTTGGGGGCTTTTAGTACACGGCGGGTTGTTCCTCGCCCGGTCTGTCAGCTTGGAAAGTGAAGACTTTAATGTGCCTTAAGAAAGAAAGGAGAAGCTAGAGAACACCAGCTATGCGGTGTTTGGGTTTTCTTTTGATTTCACTGGATTTTGCATGGAAGGATTCGGCCAAATTTCAATTCTCAATCTGCAGACAGGCGTCTGTCACACCTCCCTTTATCCGATTAAATACAGATATTGTTTATTTTCACAGAAACCAACTTAATTAACTACCCTCCCCTGAAAGGAAAAGAAAATAAGAAAATAAAGAAAACAGTTTTTGTCCCTTTGGAAATGTTCCACCGTAGATTCAGGGGAAACCTGGGTTTCATTTTGAATGTTTCACTTCACTGTATGCTATTTACTGAGGTATTTTTCAGCCGTAGAAGTCACCTATTCATTTTTAAAGACTTAAAACCACCAGTAGATGTTCCATCTAGGCCACTTGGACACGTACCAGCAGCTGTTGCAACATTTGGTCGGATAAAAACTAAAGATTCGTGCTGCCGTTCAGCTTTTAGCCCCTTGCTTTTTCCTTTTTTTTTTTTTTTTTAACTTGTATGAAAAGAACTCATTAAGGTGTTGTGGATGTTTTTCTAAAGAGAAATGCACGTTTAAGCCTAAAACCAAATGATTTGCTGTATGAAAGCAGGTCTGCAGCCTCCTCTTCCTCCTCTTCCTCCTCTTCCTCCTCCTGAAATGCATCCTCACGCCAGGCTTCTTCTCCAGGCTCATCTCTCTGATCTACAGTATTTTTAAGCTTCTGTTCAGACTGTGTCTTTTATTTTTATCCTCATTTAGTTAAAGGGTAAATCTCAGCCGAGTCTCTTATAGCGGGATCTTTGAGGCTCTATATTCAGACTGTTTTCACAGGATAGTTGGGGAATGAGAACCTTTCGCATCTGTACTGTATTTATTGTAATATTCACCTGAACATTATCTGGAATATAGAATCATTTGATGTTTTAATTCAACTGCATTTATTATTGCATACTGTATGTTTATAAATAAAATGTTATAAATTAAAAGTGCAGCTGTTGGTGTTTTCTGTCTTTGCATGAGAGAAAATTCCCCAAAGCTAAAAACATGAAGCATAAACCCCTAAAAAATGTGACACAAGAAAAGAGAATAATGCTAAAACGTGGCCGTGTTCATAAAGAGTTCATATGATCCCCAGGGTGCAAAAAAATATCATTGCTGTCTTACATTACTCATAAAAGTGAGATCTAATGTGTTAATAAAACTCCCAACCCATATAATATAATTTGATCCCTGAAAATGTTGATCCAGAAATCTTCCTCAATTTATTGTCTTTATTTAAACATTTTCAAATATTGACTTTTCTTTTAATGTTAATTTTAAAAAATGTCTTTCTTTTCTCTGACGTTTTCTTCAAATATTTAGATTTTTAGTTTTCAGTAGGTTTACAAAAAGCTCAATTCCTTCTTTCTTTTTTAAAATCGTCCTCGTTCTTTGGGAATTGAAGCCTCGGAGCTGCCCTTGGTGCTGAAACCAGCCTTTCCAAAGGGAATAACGGGGAAAAGGGGAGGGGAAAAAGAGCTGTAAATAGTGCAAACCTGAAAAAAAAAACGTGGCATTTAACTTATAATATTAACGAATCCTCCCCCCAAAGAAAACACCACAAAAGCAAATCGGATTTTTTTTCTTCTTTTTTTTTTATCATCAACAATCATTTCAATGGTACACCTGGAAAACTATGTGCACATGTAGAAATATTTCCTTCTTAAATATAAGCATTCATTGCCTACATATAAATAACTTTCGGATCCTGGACAAAACATGTTACATAATGCTCACAAAATGGGAGGGAACTCATTTTAAAAATCAGACAAAGAGACAACATGCAAATTATATAGAAATAAATACAATGCTTGCATCCATTCCGCCCCCCCCCTTTTTTTATACCCAAAATAAATTCTTCCGAGGGAATTTAGTAAAACATCAAAAAGACTTCCGTGATCGATCTACGAAGGGAGTATGGCCTATGGTTCAACTATAGGAGACAAGAATACGTATTAACACTATACAACTTGAGCCACAAAACACAGCCGTAAAAAGACACACAAAACACACATTTCCTGTCAGAGGGTGAACATTGCGGTGGTTTGTGCCTTTTTTTTTCTCTCGAGGAAATAAGTGTATTTATATCGATAATTTAAAGAAACTAAACTCTGAGCGACCGTAGAAACAACGTGTGAAACACACCTGGAACAGGCCGGGTCTCGTGCCAAAGGCCTCGTGGGCCCGGATGTTGGTCTTTTCTGTGGCTTTGTCCTCAGATATGAACCGTCTCTGTTCATATCTTGAACTCTGGCGTTTCTTTTGGGCTTTGGGAGGCCTTTACGCACCGGTATTTTGCGCACAGACGTTTGGGAACGCGCACCATCTCAACCCAAAAAAATACGCACCTGGACAAGTCACGTGATCCGGCCGTTTCCTTAAATGAAGTCATTATCGTTGTGAGTTATCTTTTAATGAACCTTTCTGCCTAATCTCACGTCCTATTTGGTTCCAACGCAACAGGACAAGTGGGAAAGTTTCTATAGAGCTCGCGACAATATGAAATAATGTCAGGATGTGGATATAGATATTTTGTTTGTTTTTTAGAAGGAAACCGTGACCACAAGAAAACGGCGCAAGGCGAAAAAATAAAATGCATTCATCTTTTTTTTTTAACTGCTTCTTATTGTCCTCAAGTCTGTCTTGTGGGATTGCTTTTCAGTCTCCAGAGAAGGAGGAACCGGCTCTCTCTCTCTCTTTCTTTCTCTCTTTCTCTCTCTCTCTCTCTGGTTTCCCTTCTCCGTCTTCATCATTAGAACATGCTGGTTTTTACTAGTGTAGCTTTGGCTCCGTTCTGTCTTTGCAACGACGACAGCACGCTGGCGAAGGGCCCCCCCAACGAGTCCGGGATGGAGGTGATGGTTCCGGGTGCGGGGGCCCATCCCTGGCCGGGCGCGGTGCCTCCCATCCCGCCGGAAACGGCGCCTTTGGCCGGGTCCACCGCCCCCCCCCCGCCGGGGGGGTTGACCGGGCCGGTCCCGGGGCTCGGGCCCCCGCAGTTGGAGGTGGGCACCGGGTTGGGCCCCGGGCCCCCCGTGCTGTCCGGGTCGGTGGTTTTGTTGTCTTTGCTGTCCTCCTCTCTGGGGTCGGACTTCTTCCCGGAACTGGACTTTGCGGCGGCCGCGGCGGCTGCGGCCGCGCGCTCCTGTTTGCGGAATTTCGCGCGCCGGTTCTGGAACCACACCTGGAAAGATGAGAAATATAAGATAAATCAGACTTTACGTGATGCTTGTAGGTATGGAGCGACATACCAAATCCAAAAATAAGTCTAAATTGTATTTAAAGTTCCAGTAAAAGACATAAAAGTGATATCTTATGATTGCGTTTTTATGTTGCCATGGAGCTCAAATATCTCCAAAGAAGATACCACCGCACAACAATGGGTGGTCAGAAATCTGTTGTTTCAAATAAATAAATGTTTTACTTGATCTTGAATGTGTTAAAGTGAGTGGTCAAACCAAAGCACTTAAGAAAAAAAGCTTTTTTCTTAAGTCCACCCGTATGATAGCGTTTTTATTTTGCCATGGAGCTCAAATATCTCCAAAGAAAATACCACTGCAACACAATAGGTGATCAAAAATCTGTTGTTTCAAATAAATAAATGTTTTACTTGATTGGAGTGTGTTAAAGTGAGTATTCAAACCAAAGCACTTAATAAAAAAAACTTTTTTCTTAAATCCAGCCGTGCGTAATCGTGCGTAATCGTGTGGAAAGCGGGATAAAAGTGATGTCTTATGATAGCGTTTTTATGTTGCCATGGAGCTCAAATATCTCCAAACAAAATACCACTGCACAAATATGGGTGGTCAGAAATCTGTTGTTTCAAATAAATAAATGTTTTCCTTGATTGGAATATGTTAAAGTGAGTGGTCAAACCAAAGCACTTCAGAAAAAAAGCTTTTTTCTTCAGTCCACCCGTGCGTAATCGTGCGTAATCGTCTGAAAAGCGGGATAAAAGTGATGTCTTATGATAGCGTTTTTATGTTGCCATGGAGCTCAAATATCTCCAAAGAAAATACCACTGCACAGCAATGAGTGGTCAGAAATCTGTTTTTTCAAATAAATAAATGTTTTACTTGATCTTGAATGTGTTAAAGTGAGTGGTCAAACCAAAACACTTAAGAAAAAAAGCTTTTTTCTTCAGTCCACCCGTGCGTAATCGTGCGTAATCGTCTGGAAAGCGGGATAAATTGATATGATAGCATTTTTATGTTGCCATGAAGCTCAAATATCTCCAAAGAAAATACCACTGCACAACAATAGGTGATCGTAAATCTGTTGTTTCAAATAAATAAATGTTTTACTTGATGTTGAATGTGTTAAAGTGAGTGGTCAAACCAAAACACTTAAGAAAAAAGGCTTTTTTCTTAAGTCCACCAGTATGATAGCGTTTTTATGTTGCCATGGAGCTCAAATATCTCCAAATAAAATACCACTGCACAGCAATGGGTGGTCAGAAATCTGTTGTTTCAAATAAATAAATGTTTTACTTGATCTTGAATGTGTCAAAGTGAGTGGTCAAACCAAAGCACCTAAGAAAAAAAGCTTTTTTCTTCAGTCCAGCCGTGCGTAATCGTGCGTAATCGTCTGGAAAGCGGCCGGTTTGCGTACCTGCACTCTGGCTTCCGTCAGATCGATCTTGAGCGCGAGCTCCTCTCTGGTGTAGATGTCCGGGTAGTGGGTTTCTGCAAAAACCCGCTCCAGCTCCTTGAGCTGCGCGCTGGTGAAGGTGGTCCGGATGCGCCGCTGCTTGCGCTTCTCGTTCAGGCCGCCGTGGTCCGTGAAGAGCTTGTACGGAACTGTGGAACCAGACAAAAAACGCGGCTGTCAAAAACTGGAGCAAATTCAAACGTGATATTTCGTGTAAAAATCCGGTTAAGGACCCCGCTGTGCCGCAGCTCTGAGCCGCTCTCGATTCCAGGAATTAGATCAGAGCTGATAACTCCGCTGACCCGTGAAGCGGTTAATTGTAACGTTAAACTAATTGTTGCTCCTCAGATTGAAGCTCAAGTTTGAAAACTTGTCATAATAATGCCACCCGCTCTGCTTGTTGCTACTGTAACTCCAATTCCGTGTCAATAATGAGCTTTGGTCTTTGGTTATCTAATTATTTTCGAAGCTTTATGTCTCATCGCAAAGTAAATAAATTATGCCTATCATTTTGGCAGCTTAAGATAATTCTGTTGGCGGTTTTGGGTGTGACTGGGATAGTGTAACCCCGTAACCGAATTAGACCTCGCCTGCGATCGCTTCTAACGTGATAAATTCTTTCATTTGTGTAAGCAAATTTCGTTTGGTAAATACTAAACACATTTCCATTTTCAAATGCAATCAGCGTAGTCCTATATTACGCGGAGGAATCCGGCTTACCTGCGGCGTACGGGCTGCTCTGGTGGTCCCGGAGGGTCCCCAGGCTGCAGGACCCCGGTGTGAGGGACGGGCACCCGGAGGTGGCCCCGAAAGTGGTCCTGATGGGGTTGTACTGAAAGCCACTGGCCTGACTGCACGAGCTGAAGTCCGCGTAGGCCGATGCCAAGCTCGAGGTGTCCATCCCGGCCATACACGACTCGTAGGCGGAGGAATTTAGGTAAGAATACTCCATTTTATACATTTGAGAAGGCTCGGTAGAGATAGAAAGCTGCACTTCCCTGCGAAAAAAAAAAGAGAGCAACCCTTCAAAAAAAAGGGTTTGGAATTAAAAAAAATAATGGAAAAATCAAAGTGAGGAGCACGCGCGGTCTGGGTTTAGGGGGAAAGAGGACTTGTTTGGGTGGAACTGGTTGGAAAAAAGGCTGGACGCTGGGTAGATGTTCACTGCTCGGCGCCTGCTCCAAAACTGGCCTCCTTTATAGGAACCTAGCCCTGTTTTATGAAAAGCCCCCTAAGAGCCGCCTAGCCCGAGGTCTCTAGAGCATATAGTCCTCATAATAAACTTGGCTCTTTCCGCTTGGACAATAGCAAAGCGTTTGGTCTTATTGCTAGCGCTTTTTTACATGACAATAACTCATCAGTCTATTGGGCTGGCACTGGGGGCCCGGGCTGTCCAACCTCCCTATCATTGATCCCCTGCATCTCTAATTAGAATTTAATACCGCGCCATTACGCACCCCCCCACCACCGCCACCCACCCCCCCACCCATCCACCCCACTCCTCTCCAACCACCATCTTGCCCTTTAATTCAATCACACCACTTGGAAATAATGAAAGTTGGGTGACGATTCTCCCTGATCCAATTTTCTCCAAGCTTTTAAGCCTTTTAAGCGCGCGTATACCTTGGGCAGGATTTCACAGAGTATTCCCCCTCTGCCTCTTCCTTCTGCCTGTCTGCTCCCACATTTTTTCCCCTCAGCATTTTCAGACCGAGGCGGGTAAAACGAGTCGATTTTTATCCGTTGAAACGACCTGTTTTGACGTTGAGGTTATACGCGGAACCGTTTTGGATCAGTTTTACGCACAAAAAAACGCTTAAAACGCGCTGGTTTTGCTTCCAGATGCCGGTTAGTTTCTGATTCCTGGCTTTTGAAACGTAACTTCCTCCCTAAAGGTGCAGACCAGGGGCTTCTCCAGGTGAACAATTCCACCAGAAACCCGTAAATGTCGCCACAGAAAACACGAAATCCGGCAAAAGCTGCCCTTTAAATCCCAAACAGGAGCTCATCCTTCCGTCTGTTTCCCCTAAAACTCACACTTCTCTCCATCCTCTCCTCGCTCTGCTGCAGTTTAATCGCTGCTAAACTTCAGGGCGTGTTTTTTTTCCTTTCTTTTTTTTTATTCAACTGAGTTTATAATTGTCTTTATTACTTTCATTATTCCGCTTATTTGGCAAATAACATCTTTGTAATGAAAGTAACGAACTGGCGCGGCACTCATCGGACCTCTTAGGCTCCCAATATTGGCTGAGTGGTTAATTTGGTTTGTGTAATAAGGTGAACCGTTTTGTATAGTGCTTAC